GACATCTACAGTTAAAAAACATTTTTTGAAACTTTTATTCCAAAAAATATTTCCACAGTCGGTAAATTAAAAGTTCGTAAAGCTCTTCCAAAGCTTAGTCAACCACAGATGATTTAGATTTTTTTTTAAGTTAATTCTTAAAAAATATATATATTAGTCCAGCCGAAAATCTTGAGATATGTGGATAACTGGAAAAATATAGAACTAATTATGAGAACATATTTCTGCAGCCGATAAGTCCAAGGTCCCTAATGCTTTTCCAAAGCTCAGTCAACCACATACGATACGTTCTTTGTAAAGTTAACTCTCTAAAAAATCTCGTTCTTAGTACAATAACAAATCTTTGGATATATCGATAACCGGAAAAAGTGGGAATTAATTATCTGCTACTTAAAGGACTTCAGTGTCAAGCCCTAAAATGCACAGTTGCTTTACTTCATACTGGATGCATCCATGTATCGAATTTTTCCATGCTGTGGACTACACGTTTCAGGTAGTAAATTTTATTTTATTTTTTTTTTTAAATTTATTGGTTAAGTAGTCGAAATTCTAAAATTCTAAAACTTTGTCAATCATAAATGAGTCAAATTTTCCCGAAAACAACGCCCTTAAAGCCAAGTTAATGGGTACGTCGATGGCTGTCTAAAATGAGAATAGCTTCATCTGGAACCAGGAAGAGCTTTTGGTTTGAAACTTTGCTAAATTATTTTACTTTATTTCCTCTATATCTTCAGTGTATATATGTATGTATGTTACACTTGTTGCCAAATCAGACTTAAGATACAAGATCGATGTGTCTTCAAATTTTCTTTCTATTCTTGGTCTGACAGTGCATAATTTTTACTAACAAAACAAGCTTCTACCGCCAAAAGCAGTAAGCATTAATTTCAAAATTTTACATTGAAGAATTAGTCTAAATTTTCCGAAAATAAAATTTTTTTTTTTTTTTTGTCCCCAGCAACTGAGCCCACCAATTATCAACCTCACTTAGTTACGCTCACTGCGCGTTCCTTCCATCCAACTTAATTGTTGCAAATAATTGTTTCTTAACCGTAACACCTCGCCATTTGGCTCCATGCCTCAAACGCAATTTAATTTGTACCACTGCCAGCGCAGACTTGGTCTATTTTTTATGTCGACCTCTGCTCTACTTCTATTTTTAATCCACTTTTTTCTGCTTCTCTTCCGTTCGTTGGTCTCACATTCAGTGCTATCGGCTTACAGTGACATTATTTTATGTAATTGCTTTTCAACATAATTGCATTCTTTCGACTAGTCAACCAACCAATCACCGCGAGACCCCTGACCCACCCAGCTCGCACCTACCGGCGGTCAACCACTCGCCTGACAGACTCTATAGTGTGGAAGCTTCGCATTTCTAGTCACCATTTGTTACTTCTTTTGCAATTAGTTCGTCATATTTTATTTGCTTCCTTAGCTCGATTCTCATTTTCGTTTGCAACTAAGTGAAAAACTGTTGGTAATAAACGTAGCGGAAGGCCAGTAACAAAGGAAAATTACAATAATAATAAAACAACAACATCTATTTCATAATTTTTCCACACATTTTCTGCAACATCAATCTTACTATGTGTCCCTCGGTTGCACCCTACTTCACTCTCTCTCTTTATCTAACTCACTGCCCGCTTTGGTGTGAGTAATCATCATACTCACAACATCCGTTTGCAATTAGTCAATAATTTTTAATTGCTTGGAAAATGTTGGAATTAATAAAATTCCATAGCGCACAATGCACGGACGTCACCCGTAGTGTCGTCGGAGACAAAGTGTGAGTCTTGCAGCATGGCAAAGTAGTGCGCTATGTGCGAGCAGCACCCTAAATGTATACAGCAGCAGGAAGCTACGAACATTTTCCACAATCATGCAATGTAATTTATCTCATTCTTGAAAGCAGACGACTCTGCTGTAGTTGTAGTTGCTTATTTTCCACTATTTTCTCAACTTTTTTTTCCATAAAACTTTATCACACTGAATTTATCAAATGTCGTAGACGGCAGTTTGCCAGCAAGGAAACTAGGCGAAAAAAGTAGAGTGCGAGAAATTAATGGCATTGGCTCCTAAAAGTAGGTGAATGATTTTTTAGCTGTCGCCGTTAGTGCTTATGTGTGTTGGTGTATATGCTTGGGGGGGTCACTTTTCAATATACTCACTTGAATATATTTTCTTGTCGATTTGTTGTTATTTACGTTTTTCACTGGTAATTAATTTAATTTCTTTACTTTTTTCTCTTTCGCCCTCGTTTTTTTCGACAGCTGTTGCCATCACCATTGTGTCGCCATCATTGTCACAGGCGTTGCCGACACGAGTCGCCATTGTCACGCTGTGTGAATAGTGTTCTTTGGAAAAACCTACAAACACATCACTTTTTTGCGTTTGCCAGTTTTGTCTTTACTTCGTTTAAGTTGAAAAATTACGCTGTAACTGAAAGGTGAGTTTGATTGTGTTATTTTTTTGGTCATAGAAATCTTAATATACATTGTGGACATGTTTATTTTAGTGAAATAGTTATTTTGAGAGTTTAAATTTGATAAGAAAATTAGTGCAAATTAGTAATTCGACTTCTAAAGAAATTACTAGACTTGAGCACGGAAAATATTAAACGGTTTTTAAACTCCAAATAACGCCATTAGCACTACTCTTTAGATCAGTATCTTGGGTAAGAAGGTTCAATTGCGGCAATGCTGCTATTTTGACCTTAACTTTACCTTTGGAATTCTGGCACTTCCGTTGAATTTTTACCCAGTGAACGGAGAATCTCCGCAACTTTATATTTTCTCAAAGCGCTGGACGCTCCTGTTCAATTCTTGCTAACTCAGTTTTCAACTTACCTTATAGTCGATTTTGGTCTAGCCAAAGAACACAAACACGTTTATTAAGGTACAAGAATAGATGATAAAAAATAAATTCTGTGTACCTTAAAATTCAAAGAAAGGCCTTTTATATATTAAAATTTTATGTGCTGGACTACTGCCAGCAACGTCTCTTTCAGGTAACCGTTGAATGGGTTACAGCAACTATGCGCTGACTGCATAACTGGTTCACTAAGGACCATTCCAATGTTTGAGCTTTAAAAATAACTCAACCTACCACCAACTTACAATACAGCAAAATCAGCTGCAATATAGGCGAAGTTAGGTGAATTTTACACAAAAAATCGTCATCAAAGGTCGGTAAGCCAAGTGTCGGTGGTGACAGAGGCGCTTTCAGGTGGTTGGTGCAGGGTATATGACCCTCCAGCAGAAGATTTAACATCTACACGGACGCATCAAAATTTGCTGATAGAGTGGGCGACTGGATCTAATGCGTAGAGCTAAGTCTATGCTGCCCAAATGTTGCAATATCTCTCAGGCAGAAGTCTGTGAGGTCGGAAAGGCTGCTGATATACCTAATGACGCATGCCGCATGTCGATGGCTATTAATTAAAGCAATAATCTCACATCGCATTGCGTTAGAGAATAATCTTAGAACCAGGGAAGCAGTAAGTATAGAGGCTGCTCGAAAATGGCTTTTCATATAGTAGTTTCCAGGAACTCGCAAGTTGCTAAAAACGATACACAATAAAATTTCCGAAATATTTGACAGGCGCATTAGTGGGAAATAAATTACCTCAAAGTCATCGAGGATAGCCACCATCATGTGCAAGAGAAGGAAAAGAAAACACATATACCTTTTACCTACATGGTCTCGAAAAGACTACAGTACGATTGTTAGACTAGTCATATTTCTCAATTTACACAGACGTTACTAAAGCTGACACATGTAGAGAGTACATGGAAGTAGGCATGAGAGAGGCCCTAAAACACCTAATTTGCTTCTGCCCGGTCTTATCAAGAATTCCACCTAGATATATAAGCGCCACGGAGTTCAAGACACTTGATGATGTTTCAAAATTAGATATCAAGTCTCTATTAAACTTTACAAAGAGCGTTGACGTTCTGCTCGACATAAACTTCACCTCCTATTAAACTGAACCTCCATCTGGCGTAACAAAGGATCTGCAAATCTATATATGGAACATTACACAGTCAGTGATACCTAACCTTAGCATATACAAATTAAAAAAAAAAAAACTAAACGTTGATTAATTTCTTTCTTTTTCCTTACTTTCCAACCTAGAATTTTCTAGAAACATCCGTAAAAAAATCACGGCTTGAAAATAGCTTGGCAAACTGAGGTAATAAATCAAATGCAGATAGTCATTAAGTTCGTATGTATAAATGGTACATAAATACATACAGCGAAATTACACTCGTATGTTTAAAGGAAAAAGTGCTGGTATCTGAGTTTTTTGTACTGGACAATTAAAGCATGCGTGTTTGTACCAAAATTATGTATATTATTCGTAGCAAACTGATAAATATATAGGTTTGAACAACTAGCTTTTATTTTCATATTGCTCTGAAAAGAACGTCTCCCTCTTATTTGTAAAGAGAAAAGAGTTGAACTAAATATGTCTGTGGTAGATTTTAAATGGAATATAAATCTGAAATATATATATATCTTTATATATATATAGATGTTTT